CTTAGAGCTTTTTCAGAAACTGGTCAGTTATCTGAGGCTATTTCCTAGTTCATATGGTGATGGAGGTTCCAGCAGCAGCTGCCTTCATGTAGAGGTGGAAGCTGAGGCAGGTCAGAAGACTTGCAGTCGTGGTTGGAGAACCTTTTATGTGATTGTCTCCAGACTGATCAAAAGGATTTGGAAGACCTGTGACTGATTTCTGAATGCTTCCTCCTCACACATTTAAGTATAAATCTCATGTGAGGAAAAATTACTTAAGGATGATGTTGGCTGGAAACATGCAAGACTAGCTAATAAGTTTGAGGAGAGGGAAGTAGAAAGCTTGCTCATGCTGAGAGGTTTTGAACACTGTCTTAGAAGCAGTAGAGGCAAGAAACAGAACTGAAGGTGTACTGTATTTCCTTTTAGAACCTATCCCTCTGGGAAATCTTGCATGAGTGTCCTTTCTTGTGACACTTTTGGAACAGCTGAATTAGAGTAATGAGCTGCTTTGAGAATGGCTTGCTGTGTTTGGAGCTTTACAGCAAAGTATCCAAATAACTGCTGAATGTGTTAAACTTCTTTTTTTCTGATGTTTCTCCAGCCTTCAGACATCTGAATAAAGACTCTGGATTTCAACATGCATTCTTTTTTGGAATTCTCCTGTTTAAGTAACTTTTCATGAAATTTTATCAAGTAAGGTATGGTTATTGGTCTTGCTGATGAAGCAATTTCTTTGCCCTACCAGTACTGAATAATTCATATTGAAGATTCTTGTGCTTAGGACTATATTATATAGCAATTTGAAGTACTATATATGTTATCTTGAACTAAACTTAAAGCCTGTGTGTTGATGGAATTCCATAAGCATATTGAAAATACTGTCTTGAAGCTGGTGTAAGGCAGTTTAGTATGGCTAATTTTGATTATGCAAGACACAACTGTTCAGTCAATTTTCAGTTAAATGGTAGAATTGAAACAAATGTTCTTTGAGTGTCTTGGACATAAGCTTGTAATTTCTCCATTAGCTTTTCTAGGTGTTCTACAAGAAGTGCAGTTAAAGATGTGCTCTTAGAAGACCACCTGATCTAGTACAGGCTTTAAAGAAAGCTTGCTGTATTGATCTTGCAGGTACTCTTAACCCCTGTCAACAATGGAAATGCACTTAGTGCTTGAGTTTCTAATCACTATGGAATAGATGGTGCTTTGGCCTTATTTTCAAACTGCTGAAGTTCATACCACACAGCAGTTGCTCAGGAGCTTTATGCTTTCTGCAAGTTTACAAGGGAAATGTTTCCCTAGCACTCTGATATAGGTAATAAAGGGTGGATGGGTTCATCAGATGGATGGGGGGAAGCTACCTTAAAGGGAAACAGTACCTAAGTTTTTATATTCAGTACAGCAGACAGGAGGAAGAAATAGTATATCGTTTACAACATAACTGATTTTTGTGTCAGTTTATAAAACAAACTAGAAATCTTTGCAGAAATTATCAACTTGCATTGATCATAAGATTTTTTTTTTGAGGCAAGTATTGGCTAAATTCTTGCCCTTAATGTAATACTGACTCAAGGAGTCAGAAATTAAGCTGGTTTGACAAGTGCACTACCCTTCAGAGACAAACTCCTGTAAACAATATTGAATACACACTTTTCTCTTAATGCATGGAGTGTACGTGAATGTGAATTGACCTTTATCAACTCTCCTTGCATTAGTGTTTCAGCTTTAGTCTTGGTGTCTTCATCTTATTTACATCTCCACTTTGCCTCTTACCGGTTTGGTTTTCTTTATATGCACATTAGGACAGGGTGTCACTGAAGTGCATGTACACAAGTACATTTCGAGTTGGCAAGTGCTGTAAAAGGGTTGTTCTCAACTGATTATTTTCTTTCCTGCATTTCATAAGATGGGTAATCTTAGCTGCCTGGTTCCAAAAAACGCTTCAGCATGGTGTATAAAATAAGATTCTTCCCTTCAGTAGTGAGTAAGGCCACTGGGATTCAGCCTCACAGCTGTTGGAAATGCCTCTCTTGAACTCCAGTGGTAACCAATGCCTTGCTTTTGGCAGTCTGTTGCC